AACTTTATACTTACGTGTCAGAACATTGAGCGGTGTCTCTACATTGAGTGTATCCTTTGCTAGACCCCAATGCCACTCATAGGCATGCAACTGATACGATGATAGGTGAATTGAACATCACTAGAGGAAAAACACGTACAAAATTAATTTGTTCATTCATTTCCAGTGGGACGAGATGATAGCATTGAGAGGGTGAGCCGTCGTTGACAGCCTTGGTAGAAAGCGACTCCAATGGCAACAGATCCATTCGAGCGTCGGTGAATAATTTGAGGCTATTAGCTGCCAGCTGGTGTAAATAGTTCACTTTAAAAATGAATAGCACAGAGAGTGGAAGAGCGGAGCGTCGCTTGAAGACCGTGAATACGACAAACAAATATACTCAACACGGTCACATGAAAGAGACACGCGTAACCCGATACACCGCGCTCAACGCGGTCACGTGGTGAAAGAGGCGCATGTAAGCCTGCCATAAACATCACATTAATTTCATGCTCGGGTTTGCTTCTGTGCTTCCTTTTGCTGGTTTTCCTCTTACTCCCATCATTCTTTTGTACCCCCTCCCTACTCACATCGATTGAGCCTATATAGTCACTTTTTTGTTCTAGGTTTGCAGTAGAGGTCCTTTACATTACTTCTCTTATTGAAGTTTTGATTGCCTTAGACTACCATGTCCACTGAAAAGTCCACTCAAAAAACAAACCTTCCAGCTATACGGTCCCGCACTTCGGGTGATGGATACTTGCGACGACGTCCTTCAGCAAATCTGAAGTATCAAGCACCTGCATCAGCATCGTTCTACCTCCAGTCACCTGACATTCCCAGTCCAGAAAAGCCTGAATCAATCGGCTCTAGTGCATATCTTGATTCACCTGTCACCTCCTATATGCAGACTCTGCAAGACAAACATAAGGTACCAAAAACCCCCATAGGAAGAGTGCATCAACGGCCAAGACTACCACATCAAGAGATGTTGGCCATGGAGATATCCCTTTATGGTGGAGAGAGAACCTGCATTATGGAGCTGGTGCCTGCTAGCTCAGGCATTGTTGACTTTATTCACATCATGGGGCGGGCAACAAGTGAGGATGAGGTTTGTTGCACATCCTGTACATGACCATGATCCATAATTTTGTCCGCCAACAGCTTTTACTTTTTGAGTACAATACTGGCCTATTTCCTTACACAATGAACTTGGATTGTAGTCAGAACCTTGAGCGCAGTAAGCCCTCAGTTACAAATCTTATAGCTCCTTTATTTATTGTTCTTCCAGTGACAGCAAGCCAGCACTGACTATTTGACAGGGGTCACACTATGTGGATCCCAGAGGAGAAAGACCTAGAGGACATGATAAAGAAGCTCCCTGAATATCGAAACTCTCCACCAAAATCCCGTATTCCGCAGTTCAGCGAGGTATACTTAAATTTATACATCCAAACAAGCCACTATTAACCTAGAGGCTTTACCAAGGGCTTTGAGCAGAGCAAGTGGAAATATACTGTTGTAGCGACTGGTCCTGACAGCCCTTGTTTTGTGCGTCACCACGAAAACGGAGAAAGGGAGATCATTTATCCTCCATACAACCTCAAAATCGAGAGCTCTGTCCATCCAATGTTCGTGTTCATGAACACGACTTCGAAACTCAAGGAAATTGAGTTGAAGAATGGCCGCCCACCTGAGCGACATCGCGTTATATGCGAAAAGATGTTGAGCTACAGAGACACATGGGACACTGTATCAGCAGAAGACCTGAAGACGTTCAAATAGCTCGATTGGACAATGATACTCCCTAAAGCTCCATTGCCATTGAAGCGCCATGGTGAGGCCATGCTGCCATACTCAGAAAGGATTGCCAAGCAGCAGCGTGTCTCTCATGGTAACGAGTCTGCACAAGAAGGCCCATCGAATCCATCAATCGAGGAGCCCATACCATACAGGCAGCAGGGCATCTCTGACGATGAATCTTCGCAACTAGGCCCACCAGACTCATCAGTCGGTGACCTCTCCGATGATGACGACTTTGTGCTACCAGGCCCACCAGGTCCATTGAACTACTCACCGATTGATGGACCATTGCTACCATACACATACACCGCAAAGGAAGCCAAATCGAATTCATTGCTTGATGCGCTCATGCTATCAAGCCGAGCAAACTCGAGCGATGA